ATACACATGCACAATGATCACGAGTTTGATTATAGCAAAGGAATTGTTGTCTGATATTTTTGCATAAATGAGTCTCTCCTCTCCATGAGTTTGGCGTATGGGTTGGTGCCATTTTTTTATGAATTAGTATTCAGCACTGTATGGGCGCGGCTGTGTTATTAGGTTGAAAGCGATTGTGCAGTACACTGTTATAATATAAACTACAATTTACATTATCGATCATAATGTCACATGAAAAGTGACAAATATCGACTAGGTGTTATAGGTACTTGATATTATTACAATATTACCCCATGAGTGATGTGCATGTGCTAGTATACCATTGGAAAACGCTGTAAAAGCGTCTGTCACGTCACGAACTTTTCTACTTTCTAAAACCCGTTGGCAAAATAATATCATAATAATAATAATTTAATTGTATGTGGCCGTTTCGTTTGGTAATATAACGTAATATATTATACCACGCATAAATATATATGGAGTCGGGCGTGGGCCGCGTAGATGTACGTCACCGTACTGATCCTAGCCATGTACTTGCATAAATATAGAACCAGGCGTTCGCGCCCTGTATATTTGTAATGTAATAATTAAACAAAAGTAAATTAACGTTCTTATAACTTAATACGTAGTCACAGCAGATAATTGAAAATGTAAAGATTCAAGTGTTAGGTATATAAAAGTAAAAACCTGTCTAGTTAATATTTTAGTTAATTTATAAAATACATTGGTTCTAGATATAAAAGTATACTATAGAGAATCGATTATTCTCGTCAACTTAAGTTCATATGGCTCTTATACATTATTTAAATTGCCAGTGACTCATTGCTCCACTGTTTGATGATTTTATATGTATTAAAATATACTAGGTAGTAGAAGTGCAGAGCTATTTACTCCCACACAAACAATTAAATCACATTTGTTGACTATTAATTATTAGTTATTATGTAACTATAATTTTTACTTAATAATAAATTAACTATGTTGACTATTTAACTTAAATGGGACATTCAATTTAAAATCAACTTGTTATTTATACCAATTTGTAAATAATAATAAAAACTATGTGTAGTAATGAAGTTAGAAAGTTAAAATCGATTTTTCTTTATCTTAATAACTTGTTAATGACTAGACGATTTTGGATATTTTGGTAATAGTTAAAATATATTATCGTAATTATCACGCCRAGGACTCCAGACATTATACTGCAGTACATCTATTATGAGTAACATCACTCACATTTCGAGTGCGTCTATTTTTATTATCGTATCGAAATACGTTGAAGACAAAAAGATTGATAGGTATCATCATTACGATTGTACATAACATATTATAGCAATGAATAATGAAGTCAGCCATTCAACCACAAATAATAATCCGAGTGGATGCCAAATAATTTTCAACCTAATATTAAATCATTCATTTTCCTATAATCCTCTCCCTTGTTGGTATAATCACTAAAATATATTTTCCACATCAAAATTAAGTTATTTTAAAAATCTCTCCTGGTAGACGTCCTTGCGCGTACTATTATAGTATCCACTGTATCCAGTTGATACCTATTCATCGTAATAGAACAATTATTATTGTCACATCTTATTATTATCATTATTGTAACTGTCGGTTTATTCTTGAAGTGTAACACATCGACTACACGAGGTGTTAGAGCGACGCGTGAGGCGAAGATAGTAGCAGTTCCTTTTTTCTTTAGAAAGTCAATGACGGACGATGCACTGCGCACACACCGGTCTATAAGTAAAACCAACTATAGTCTTATACATCATTAAAATGGAAAAAAAATAATAACAACAATATTTAAAGTCGCGTACGAAATATTAAGATGTACGAATTATTACAAAATGCTTGTGAGTACACATTCTATTGTACCTACATATATTTATTGAGACCATAATAGTTATAATATCGTACAAAATTCAGTGAATGCACAATGCACTCTGAATTTAAATTGTATGTATATATGTGTTACTGTGTGTACTTATGAACATAGCTTGCCAGTTTGTTATACAACCAAAATGCACTCATAGCACTCTCTCTATACGTGATGCACTTTACGTATATTTTTATGGTTTCGCTTTTTGAGTTTTGTTATTGGTTTGTATTTACAAGGTCGTCTTTTGTTTTGACGCATGTGTTCTCGATTATGCAATTCTTTAATTTTTTAATGACACAGGTTTCGGACGCATGACCTTTATAATTATAATAATTATTATATGTATAAATAAGGTGGTAATTTACCAAGGTCTGTGTACTGTACAAAATTTCCAAAAATTTAAAGAGGCCTATTTTTCGAATAAGTATTTCTGTTTTAATTATTATAATGAAACAATGGATAATTTTTTCAGAGTACGATAAA